CACATAGTTATCGATATTGACGTCAATGTAACTAAACAATGATTTGAAAAAATACACCAAGTCTCTGACTTCTCGATCATAGGTTAACGGTAGCAGATTTCGAGTGCAATTTGGATATAACATGCACGAGTGAGTTTTTCAAAGACTTCAAAGTAGCACGAGTCGGAAGGACGAGTGCTATTTGAAGTCTTTGAAAAACTCACGAGTGCATGTTTATCCAAATTTCACTAGAAACCATGCTATTACTTATTAATAATTCACATCAAAATGTTGGAGACAATTGTAGTTTCAACTTACGTTCATAGCGAACATTCCACTGGCAAAGTTTTCCTGGCTTTGTTATATGACATATTATTTATTTAAAAAATTCCTGGTTTCTGATTGGTTAACAGCCAACTGTGAAATTGTCATATCAACTCAAAGGCTAACCAAATACGGATTTTTCACATTCATATTAGCAAAATGACATCAAAGAATCAATATGAAAAAAATTTGGACGCGTTTGCGCCATATTACTATGACGACGAGAATCATATTGACTCGCTGACGCCATTGTTATGACGCGGCGACGGTTGCCAAAGGACTAAGGAATTGTTTTCTTCTTAATACAAATAAAATATAAATGTTTGTTTTGAATTTTTTAAATAAATAATAAAACAATTATTGAATTCGGTTTTCGCACAATATGAAGAATTATCAAGCCCTCAGTTTGCCGTTATCAACCTCAGCCTTCGGCTTCAGTTGATAACGGCAAACTTTGGGTTTGATAATTCTTCATATCGTGCTCAACCTCATTCAATAATTGTTAATTATATACAACGATAACAGCTTGAAAATTCCACCCAACTATGTAAGTTTTGTTAGTCTTGCTTAAGGTAAAGGCTTTTCCATTTAATAAAAGATAAAAGCCATATTTTCCAACCGATGTCAACTTTACTTTATGTGGCGCGGCGCCGTGTTTGTTTTGTTTTGAACAGGATTTTAATGTGAAGCAATCTGTGACCGTTACTTCTTTAATTTTGATCGTGTGTAATTTTGTATCTCATTATGTGACATGTAATTTGTTGTTCTGCTAGATCACTTAGATGTATATATGTTATATTCATATATTGTAGTTAGTTTCACTTGCATGTCCACATTATGAATTTATCATCGTGTTTATATAAATGCTTTTATTATTGTTATTAAACTAAACTGCTTTAATTAACTGATTGGTTGATTTTATCATCACATTGTTTTTCCACCAATCAGTTTGTTGCAGATTTTTGCGCTGTACGTGATTACAAAAAATTGCACTGCGATTACAGGAAATTGCACTGTGATTACAGAAAATTGCACTGTGACTACAGGAAATTGCACTGTGATTACAGGAAATTGCACTGCGATTACAGGAAATTGCACTGCGATTACAGGAAATTGCACTGTAATTACAGGAAATTGCACTGTGATTACAGAAAATTGCACTGTGATTACAGGAAATTGCACTGTGATTACAGGAAATTGCACTGTGATTACAGGAAATTGCACTGTGATTACAGGAAATTGCACTGCTGTTTGGGATTAACTGCACTGAAATCAACCAATCACAGTCGAGTAATATTTTTTAAGTATATTATTAGCACATTTAGCAGACACCTTACTAATATCCGACTTTATAGGAATCACGGATGCAAACAACTGAACAAATAAGTCTATATGAAACCACAAAGACAAAGTAATATCAATGATGACTTATAAGAAACGTTCCTTAAATCTCACTGGTCGTAATAATAATATTATGAATTAATTGATCTTATTTCAAAACAAAACCAAAATAGAGTAAATTTAATTCGATAGGGTACCAAGCTATTTCTGTCTACGTACGACATGTCCCATATTGATTATCTAACATCGTTGCTTCGCGTAGCTGACCTGTTTCTTTGAGCACACCTGCAAGGTTTTGTGAAACTATGGCAATCCTCTCATCAGAAGGTTCCAATTGTTTAGAGTAGATTTCAAGGGCACGTCTAAAATAATTCTCAGCATCTGCCAGTTCATTTAATTTAGAATGCACAAGACCCAAATTGTAATACGGAGAAGCAAGATTAAGGTTGGTTGGTCCTGTGACTTTTCGATATATATCGATAGATATCGTTAATTGTTCTCGACTGAGATTATAGTTCTCTTTACGATAATATATTGCACCCAAATTCGAGAACAATAACGCCAAACGCATACAAGTGAGTTCAAGGTCGGTGCTTGGTACATCCAACATTTCTCGAAGGGTCGCAATGGATCGTAGGCAATCGTTTTCAGCTTGATCCAATTCGCCTTCATTATAGCGTTCTTTTCCAAGATTGCTGTAGTGTGTGGCCTTGGTTTGTAAACTGTTATCAATGTCAAGCGCTAGTTTGGAGAACATTGCATTTTCATAACACTCTTCCGAGTTTGAGCAAGGAAGACCGGCGAGATTAATCAAACATGTTGAAACACTTTTATGCGAGCGACCATGTTGTCTCGATAGTATTTTAACAGCCTCATTCAAATATTTTCTAGCTTGCTTGGTGTTTCCCAGCGACGTTTCTACAGCACCTAGGTTGTTATAGATCTCGCCAATTTTTGGAAACGAAACGTGTAAAATCTCTTTAGGGTTAACTTTACCTTTATTATCTCCGTTCGTTGCCATTTTCAAAGCTAAAATTAGGTAGTTTTTTGATAATAAATATTCCCCATGTTGAGATAGAAATGAAGTCAGATCAAAAATCTGTTTTTGCATTCTCTGCTTCAGTTTAATTTTCATTGAACTCAGCACCATTACTTCTGAAGAAAGATTCTTCGTTCTCGCATAAAATTCTTTCAGATGAGGAATTGGAGAAATTTCGCCAAGTGCACATTTTTGTTGGAGAAGCGATTGAAAGACGTATAATGGTACATGCGATTTAGCGTTCCCATTCGTACAATTGGCAATGTACAACTGGATACTGTCATGTACCACACGATGCAATGAAATTGCAACGACTTTTTGGTCGTCTGAATAAAGAATCAAAGAACATTGTAGAATTGAAAGTGCCACATCCTCTTTATCTTTTTCTTTATCAACACGAAGAACATAGCTGACGATTATTTGCAGTGACTGAGCTTCATTGGAAACATAGGAAAGAAACGTAAACATTGCATTCTGCAGACATCATGACCGCCAAATGAACAGCTGTGGACATAGTTAGCGAGTATGCTGGCGTATTTACTTTAGTTAGTTTCATCTCCGTTAGTTCCCGCTTTCCTTCACTTATTTTTTTTAAATAATCCTTCCAAGTAAACTGTGGCGATGCTTTGCTTTCCCGAACTTGTTTGACGTAAAACCCAGCAGAGGCCAAGGCAAGTGGTTGATAATCCAATTCTTTTGCTACTTTGTTCACTAAATCTTGATTTTCAACAAGCCCAGATAGATCTGTAAGAAACTCACGTGATTCTTCTGGATCCATGCCTTGGCTGACTGAAAAATGGACAGTCAGAGAACTGTTTGATGGCACAGATGACATATCTTGTGTGGTGATTAACACTTGACCACCTTGCCAGTCTTCATCTTCTAGTTGAGGAAGAAATGCAGATATTTCACTCAGCTTTACAACATTATCAACTATCAACAACCAAGTGTACTCGCCTTTGAAGTTTCTGAACATTTTTGCAATCTCCCTTTGAATGGTTTGTATTTTCACTTCTGTTGTTGTTTTATTTGAATTCCTGATGCTTGCTATGTTATTTTCATCGCAATTCAAACGTCCTGCAAAGTCTACATACGATTCCAATATATCATGTAATGATCTTCCATTTAGAGTCATAACAAAACAACTCGTACTGGAACGAAACCAAGTTCCTGGAATACTTGCACCATAACGCTGACCAATTAACCTAGCAAGCTGAGACTTGCCACTTCCTGGATTTCCAGAGATATACAAATAGCACAACGCACGGTTATTTCTCAGGGACAGAATCTGTAAATCTTCAAGAATTGCGTTAACTGTTCCACTTCGATTAGCAACCAAATGAACTGGTCTGGTTGGGAGGACTCTGAAAAGTGATTTCGCATGACTAGCGTCTGTAAACCAATAATAGGACACACCAATTAAAATTGCCAAGCACCAAACGTAGAGGATCTTTTTTAAATTATTATCATAGTTTCCGCTTGAAGAGCTTCTAATTCTTTCAACATTTGCTGAGGATAACTTTAATACTTTGAAACAATTCTTAACTTTCCTGTAAGCGTTGTCAAAAGCAGCATCAGGCATTTTATGTTGCGATCCAAAATTATGAGTAGGAAGATTTCGTTGGACTCTCAATTCATTAACCTTGTTCGAAACATGTGGGGCCAAGTGCTTTTTAAGTGCGTTGGAAAATAGAATGGCATCCGACAAAGCGGACATATCCCATTCACTTCTCTTCCCAGATTGATACGAATTTAATAGGTGTGCAGTTGGTCTAGCATGCAACCTTGGCTTCTCCATGTTATACAATTCGATCCCAGATATACAAGTGTCGTCCCAAAGACCTTTTGTTGTACCATGATGTTTGTCCCATTCCTGTTTGAATACTTCCCGGAGACCTTCGCACACAGCAACATTCATAATTTCCATAATGCAGTTGTAGTTCTCTTTCTCGTTTCTTGTCGACGTCATGACTTGAACAGAAATTTGAACGGTATGGGAAATAGCCTATGGAGAAAGTGACGATATAATTTGGTAAAGCTTGATGATCGATGATGGTAACAGACTTGCTTCAAGTTGTTCCAACAAGACTAATACAAACTAATGTAACAAATAGCATGTTACTGCATGTGTTCCAATTGACGTCACAAGTATAGTTTGTCCGAATATTCCCACAATTCCTGTGGGCTTAACTATGACAAGAGAATATAGTTCATTTGCATTAATTTGAAAGTCAAAGTTTGTGCTATAAACAACAACCTTAATTAATAATCTACGCTATTGCTACAAGCTTGTTGCGTGCAGACGATATCAGATTCGTTGGAATAACTTGTTGCAAGTCCGTTGGCCTAATCAACCTTACTACAAGAAAACAACTCATTACAGACGTGTCAAAAACTGGGAACAAGCAGTGCGAACACATCCTGGTGACAAGCTGTGCGTGTATACGCGTACGACCATTGTGACATGCAGATCACAAAAAAGGTAAATACCGGAGGTTGAGCGCTTTTTGTTAGGCACAATTACTCTGTCAAATTCATATTATGTCAAAACAAATACTTCGTTTCTCCGTAGTGTTTCTGTTTCTCGTCGCGGTTTGAGAAAACTACTGCAAGTTTTCTTGCACTTCCGGTTACGTATATTTCACGGCCTAGGAATGTTGCGCTTGGTCGAGATTCCCTGGGGCGAGGACGTCCCAGGAATGAATCAATTTAAAACTTAAATAATGTTTCATGCGTAAGAAGTGTTATTTCAAAACCTCAAATTCGGACTCGACAGAGATTTCAAGTCTCGCAGTAAGTTGACTCCAGTTGCCCGCTTCAGTTTGGACTGGAACAAACTTCTTGGAATCAAAATCCAGTCCGTTATTATATTCGAAAAAGATAAAACAAGTTGAGGGTGGGTTGGCTTGATATTGTACGATAAGTGAAGAGAAGCAAAGGCGGTAAAAACAAAATAGCATGGAATAAGATAGGTAGGCCAAGATTGGTAGGTCAGGATAGAAAATCAGTAGCATGCAGCCGGCAGTCAAAAAATAAGATAGTGTTCATGACTGGAATTCTCCAGATGTTTATAGATATAAGAAAGTAATATTTCTTATCTTTATCAAGTACATTTCAGTTGTGGGCAGTAAATTTAAAAATCCGAACAGTGGGCAGGCCCTGGGTACGAGGTTGTCCAGTTCTCTTTTCAATCTCTGTTTGGCTAATGGGAGGTCCGTATCGCTTGATATAAAATTAATTGGAAGTACCACCGCGAGGACAACTTTTTCCAGGCAGCCATTAGGCATGCTATTCGTCTTCGAATACCACGTTACATCGTGGAATTTGAATAATTCCGTCGTTTAATTTCATTGGGAACTTCCTTCACAATCCTTCGTGTATTATGGGAAGATCACAAATACTGGGAGGCCTGTAGAATTTTGTAAACAAAATACAGGGGTCTTTTTGGAAAAAAATTAAAACTGCACATACAGAGATGTTATAAAGCATCAGGTGTTTGACGGGGAGGGGAGTAGAGGGGTGGAATCAAAGGATTTTGGCTGACGTTAAAAGTTGTAAGGGAGTGGTCGTTATTTATGGGGTGGTAGGGGGTGGATGGTTTTTTAAGGAATAAGCTAAAAATTTTCTTGAGCAATTGTTGAAATTGACAACGGCTTCTTCACACGTTGAAAATCCCTCCTCAAGGAAATCGTCTTAAGAAATATAAACATAAATTAAAAACAAAATAAACGTTGAGTTTTAACATTGCAATTTTAACTTGAAACAACTTTGTTTGTGCATTAATAATTCTGTTTTGTTTTTAATTATTTATCAAAACTGCTTTTATAAGACTATTTTTCTAGTAACCCTTCCTTCTTCAAGTCAAGAATCAATATAACCCCTCCTTTAGCGCCTTTCAAAATTTGGTAACTCCTCCTCAAAATCATCCACCACCTACCATTCCATAAATAATAACCACTGCCTAAGTTATAATAATTTTAGATTTGCCTAGGTGGCAGAGTACTTGTTGGATGGGTGGATGGCATTGGGGAGGGGAGGAGGAGCTAGGTTAGTAGCAGGCCTGACAAACTCAATGCATTACTTGGGCATCCACTCACATATATATATATATATACACACACACATACAGGGTGTATAAAAAAAGGTAATCGAACTTCAGCGCGCTATTATACGTGAATCACTCGGCGTATGAACAATTGGTTTTCATACTTGGAAAGATCAGGCTTTTAGCTATTGAATGACATGCTTTTCATAGCAAGTGGAGAAAAAATAAGCATGTACGAGGCCGATCAAATATATTTGTCAAAATCGCATATTTTCACCTCTGTGCCTAATTAAAACAATGCATAACAAAAGAAAAAGTAGTTAATCACTAACGTGTCGTAGCTTAGCTAAGATTTATTCCTACTTAATAATAATTATGAATATGTGCGTAGTTTAATGAAGTGAAATTCATCAACTTAAGTACCAAAGGGAGTTCATTTTCAATGGTTTTAGACCCAACTCTCAACGG